ATCATGTGGTTGGATAAGATTAATGGGTTTTTAACACTATTAAATATCTGAAATAATATAAAAAATTTTAATATTAAATAAAAAATATAACTATAAAACATTTTAACATTCAAATTAATAGAAACATAATAAAAAATACAAATTATAAATAAGTTCTTATACTCATTTACAATTGTAAATATTGAAAAGATTTTAAAAAAAAATTTTTGTTACATCACCAAAGGCATCAAGATTAATAAAAGATAACTCCAAGTTTTAAGTTCAATGCAAGTAATTCGAGAAAAAGGGTATATAAGAATGTTAACTTTAGATTTTTTATATTTAAGGATATTAACTTTGTCAGTTTCTAAATAAAGATGTCAACTTTCAATTTTTTTTTTATTTAAGGATATTAACTTTCAACTTTTTCTATTTAAAAATATCAACTTTTAACTTTTTCTATTTAAGGATTAATTGGAAGATAATACTAACATGACAAATGGATTTGTTCATTGAAACATTGAAAGTTGGTATCCTTAAATAAACAAAAATTAAAAGTTAACATTCTTAAATAGAAAAAATTGAATGATGATATCCTTATTTAGAAACTAACAAAATTAATATCCTTGAATAGAAAAAAAAAATGCAAAGTTCACATTCTTATTTGCACCATTTCTCCAAGTAATTCTTAAAAATTAAAACTAATTTTTTTTTCTTAATGCACTAATGATTCAATCCCTTCTTGTCCAAACTTTGTTAAAAGTAAATAAAATTTAACATAAATATCACCTGAATTGATTAACAACATTTATAATCAAGATTTAAAACTCCTCAACCAAACTTTCAAAAATAGTGGAATACCAAGATTAATTCTATTATATAGTTTTAAGACTTTTAGAATGATAGTTCTTTAAAACTTAGTTAGAAGAATCAAAATGTCATTTTAAGAACAAATTAGAAATTTAGGGTTCTAAAAGTAGAGTTGTAAACTAATTCTGAAGGGTAAAGTTGTAACTAAATTAGAAATTTAGATTTAGGATTAGAGTACACAATTAAGAAGGAAAAATAAATTACGGAATATATAGATGTTTTATTTTTATTTTTAATTAAGTTAATGGAGTTATTATCTTGTAAAGCAAGAAATTTTTTTAAAAATAGTACAAAAAATATTATATTATTTAATTAATTTATCTTATAATCAAATTTTATTTTGTAATCAATCAATTTGAACAGTTTGAAAGTGAAACTAAAATTAAACTAATTATATTAGTTTTAAAATTTATAATTTAAATTAATTTAATTTTATATTAATTTGATTTGATTTTTATTAAATAGAAATAATTTAGATCAAATCAATCAGATTGAATCAAATATAGTCACTCTAATATAAGTGTATAAGTGTATATCTATACCTATATTTTGCTTATCAAAAATTGAATCCGGTCCAACCGTGTTGACGATATTAATTGAGCTTTTGAATATTTTTAATTTATGGTGATCTTAGCGTGCCATGGAGGTATTGGCTATGACTTTTTTGATAAAGGAGATATTATTTTACTTAAAAATGTTATTGAAATAATTATTTTATCTTATTTTTTTATATAATTTAACATGTTATTAAAATAAGTAATTTTTTTAATTCATGTAAGATTTATGATATTAAATGCATCTATTCATTTAATAATATGTAAAAATTATACAACAAAATAAAATAAAAAAATTATCCCGATAACATTACGTTATTTTATTATATTAACATGACCAAAAGCGATTTCACTGCTTCCACTACAGAACCTTCATGCTTACTTTTCTTTCCAATGAATTAAATAGTTGGCCAGCATATATAGAACTTACTATACTAATTTGCACATCTTTTTTTTTGTTCTTTTCTTTTATGTCGAACTTTTGTGGCAGTCATATCAATGCTAGGGTCCAATTTGCACTGCGTCTCAGAGATCCCATATAGAAGGTACGAGATTCTAGTAACGGGTTCATTCAACCTAATAGATCATATCAAAACGAACGGATCCTACTAATGCCAAGCCCCCTTTGAATTTAAGTATTGTATTAATTAGGGTCATATAATGCATGTAGATAGGATAGGACCTCCTGTGCGGATATAATGGCATCTATCATCTACCATTTAAGCTTTTTGTATTAAAAAAAAAAAAAGACAATATCCAAAAAAAAAGAAGAAGAAGAAAAACAAAAAGAGAATACCCTCTCTCCCTTCTCTCATCTTGATTTTCTTAGTTAAAGATGGGAGTTCTCACCTCCTTGTAAGGGTTTTTTTTCCTTTTTGTGGAGGTTTCTCTTTTTTCTTTTTTAGATTTTTTATTTAACTTTCTTAATAATTTTTAATGGGATTTGCTATTATTAAATTGCTATTATTGAATGAGGATGGCAACTTGAATATGATACTGGTCAGACTCAAATAAATTGTCGTACTTACTTTGATTGTTGAAGGCATGGTTGGGGATGGAATGCCTAGTTAAATTGTTGGTTAAATGCTCATTTTGGTCCCCCAACTTTATCAGTTTACACATTTTTGGTCTTTAAAGTATTTTGTGCACATATTTTATCCCTCAACTTTAAGAAATACACAACGCTTGTCCCTTCGTCATTTAGGGCTGTTAACTTCACCTATGTGGCATTTTTTATATTTTTTTTTATGATATTGAGAAAACAACTTAAAAAGATGATGATTTGGACATTTTTTTTATGACATGTCCAATGCCAACTCATATATCAAATTAGATTATTAGTATTTATATTTTTAATAAAAAAAATAAAAACTATAAATTTACCTTAATACCCCTATCTCCCTTTCTTGATCCATCTTCTTCCCCTCTTGCGATCCATCTTCTTCCTTTCTTTCTTCCTCTTCCTCATTTGTGTTGCTAGGTTCCCTCAAACCCAGATCATCTGGGTTCAAGGGAACCTAGCAAACTAGGTTCCATCAAACCCAGATTTGCTGGGTTAAGTGGAGCCCAGGCTAGGTTTCGTCACACCTAGAACCTAGATTTGCTAGGTTTGAGGAACCCAACAACAGGGTTCCACCGAACCTAGCTCCACTTTTTTTTTTTTTTGTTATATATTTGTTGCGAAGAGTTTATGCAAATTGCAAGTTGTGAGGGATTTTTGGGATCCTTTTGCGTCATATTTCCTAATTAGGTTAAAACCCCTTTTTAGTCCCTGAACTATTGTACAGACCCCCAATTTGGTCCCTGAACTAAAAAAATCCTTGATTTAGTCCCTACTGTTTACCATTTTTACCTCGATTTGGTCCTTCCGTTAAAATCTCACCGTTATCTCACGACAATTTAATGACATGTCAAACATCTGAGACACGTCAGTTGTATAAATGAATAAATAATGACATGGCAACGTGAAATGTCATGTCCTTGCCCAACCCAACAAAAGTGGGGCCCACCAAAATTACGAATTTGCCATCATCTT